ACTGTTTTTCAATTCTTATTAACTGTTTCTTTCGTTGAAAAGTACCCAAAACATGCATAATTTCGCAAGTTAGGTGAATGTCATCACAATTTTAGGTCTCTCTTTTATTGTGAGATGCTTCTAATTGTAATTAGTGCACACTTTTTAAGTTGAATGGATGTCACGTTAATTTAAGCCCTTTTATAGTGAGATACATGTCATTGTAATTATCATTCGCCACTTTTCATTATGGATCTAGTGTGAGGAATGCTTGAATATCAATAAAGTTTTTTACTTATTTTATCCCAAAAATCTCTCAAGTTTTCAAAATAATACATTTTTCTGCACAAACCCTGAAGTTTAAGAGTCTGACATTGTCTCAAGACTTCAATCAGTGAAAGTATTGGACGTTTCTAAAATAAAATGTGAAAATAGTATTGGTAAGCTCTTCAATCAGTGATAATGACAAGATTGATGATGCTGCTTTCATAGACTCCATGTTTTTTTGGAAAGGGCATAGATATCAGTAACCTTATTAGGGTGGATTATCTTAATTAATGAAAGGTTAAAATATTAGTGACTGTGTTAAAAAAATCAAAAATAGTCTATGATAATTTTTTTCATCCCTTTAATGTTTCAGTAGCTTGAAGAAAATGAATAAATTGATATGATGCCTAGTAACTATGAAAATGCAAATAAGTTTATGATACTTTGTGACATTAACTTAACCAATACTTGTTCACAAATCTTTGGCTTAATAGTTGGGGATTAAAAAAAAGCTAACAGTTAATGCATGCTCACAAGCTTTTCATTTTGAGGTTTTTCCTATCCATATTCTGATAAAGGACTGTGATTCTTTTAGTAGCTTGAATAAAATGGCATACTCAAGCATGATGACAAAAATATAATTCACAAAATCGTGAAAATAGAAACTCTGATAATCGTATGATTTGGCCCACAAAGGAATTTTAGAATAAAACTATTGCAGTGGTATGCGAGTCTTAATACTAATTTCTTTTTTTGAGAAGACTATGGTCAAACATTGTACACATTTTACATTGAATAAATTGAGACATGCTCATCATTATATTAGCATTTGAATTGGCAGTAGAACTGAATTCTGCTCGAGCTGCTTTGAAAGTTATCAGAGTACTGATTATGATTGTTAATGATGAAAGCAAACAATTTCAGGAATGCTATGGGATTCGAGAATTAGAGATCATAGCTAGCACTATCTGGCTGTTCTATGAAAAGACGTAATAAGAATGTAATGATATAAATGAGTAATCTTAGTTGACAAATACATTCCATGACTTTTCTTCTTTATTTTTTTATTTTAATGTCTTACAATTGATCACTAAAACATTTACATCTGCTTATATATTTTTTTCTGTCAAACATTAGTTGGTGGTTATTATAACGGGCACCTGAGTTTCGAAGTTAAATCATAACAGTAATGATTATTTTGTTTTTCTCTTATCAGACGATGATCTGCTAGATGTTGACTTCTTACGAGGACACACAGATTTCAGGTACAACTCCCCCTACTCTAGATGTATATTTCAAAAGGACAAGCGGCCTTTAAAAATGCACATATTTTGTGATCCACTGTCCAAAACTCGACGATATGAACCAAAATAGAGAATGAGATAGCTGGAGCTAAAACATTAGTGTAGTTGTATTTTCTTTAAAACTAGAAACCAACGTTATAAATGTCGCTGTCAAAGGGTTGGGCCATACCAAGGCCGTAGGACGCGCAGTCTGGGCTGTCTGCAGGACACCGGTGGCGCAGCCGGAGGATGTGGTGGTGAGCAGGATGGACTGAAGGGAGCAGTACCCCAGTTTGGCCAGAAGTATGATTGAGTGCCGGCCTGTATAGGACACAAGGAATCCATGTTTTAGAATCTACGAGACAATGCAGTTGAAATAAGAAATGAACCAATAAAACCTTGTGATGGCAAGGTAAGATGTGTTCACCATGGGAGAACTGAGCCAGTCATTTTGAACGAGGACTGGAGCGAATCCGCCCCCTGGAGCCGATGCTTTCCTTTCTCAAGATGCCACCAGGTTCCCTAGCCCGACGTGGCCTAGCCGTCAGCTGGCGCAGCTGGGGACTCGGCAATGGCGTCTCTGACCTAAGTCCCTACGCGGCATTCTTGTTTGAGGTGCTGGGATTATTGGCGAAGCGTGCGCAGCATTCCGTCGTGGGGTTGGAGAAGAGGGTGGCATCGCTGGCGAGTAATGGGGCCAGCGTTCTTCTCAGGGATGACGCCTACTGAGATGCCCACGCCTCCGCCGCAGTATGGGTGCCACAGGATGACCGATCGCACTCAGAAGACAGCCCCTTATACCCGGAAACTTGAATAAAGTTCGATGACGGAAAAGACGCCAGAAGTTTGACCGGAGTGCTGGTTTTTATCGATACCTTTGAAGTGCAGTATTATTACAATTCCTTGTAAAAGTTACGAACTTTAAGGTATTTGTTTACGTTAAATCTGTGGTGTGCAACTGTGCACGGACATGTCATTTATATTCTTGGGGCTGCGATGTCTCTGCCTTTCGCACATTTTCATTGCGAACCTGACCAGCTTCCTTTACATTATTCAAGGAGTAGCTGTGAGAGCACCGCAACTATTCTCGTTGCTGATGCCTTTTACTCATTGCATGGGAAAAAGTGTCAGAATCCCTATTTTCGTCCTCTCTCTCTCTCTCTCTCTCTCTCTCTCTCTCTCTCTCGCTCTCGCACGTGATGACTATATTATTTTTCTTTCTTCTCTCTCTCTCTCTCTCTCTCTCACACGTGATGACTATATTATTTTTCTATCTCTCTCTCTCTCTCTCTTTCTCTCTCCCTCTCTCTCACACACACACACTCCTGCTCTCTCGCACGTGATGAATTCTATGCTTTTCGTGCAAATTCCAACCAACCATGTTTAGTCATTTTCAGAACCTTCACATGAAATTTTTCCTGCAATATCTCTGGGGACGGACACCTTTCCTCAATTGTTAATATTTTATATGTTCTTAAGAGCGAATTTCTTGGTATTCCATGTTGATTATCCACAACATGTTGAGGCCACATCCAATGCTTTATGTCTTGAGTCTATCATGCTAATTTTACTACTATGGCCATTTCTACTTTCCCTTTCCCTACAATAAACATCTTTGACATTATTGACATAAATAGTTTTAATATTATAAAATTTCCAAATATTTGCATTTGAAAAATCGACCAAAAAATATATTTTAATGGTATATTAAAATTTTAAATAATTTTGAGAAATGATTCTAGAGGAACATTTATTAATGTTTTTGGATACTATTAAATATAATTTTGAATCAGTGAAAAAATCCATAGCAAAAGGATTATTTTAAAAGGTAAACTGTAGGAATTTCATACTAGATATATTGATCACTATTAATGGAATCTCTAGTCATGGAAAACGTGCTATGTGTGCGCTAACTGATGAATGATCTGTAAGACATTAATGAAATATCAGTAAGACATCAAGTAATATTGATTACCTGAAATACTAATACATCGAAGATTAGCTGAATATTATTATTAAGGAAATTTTATTTTGTTGAATACTTTCCCCCCACTTTATTACAAGATTACCCATGAAATAATTCTCTTGTTGCTATTGGAATGTGATCAAGGTGGAGATGATCAACTTTCTTGTACGACTGCTTTTCATGGAAGTCTTTAACTTTATGTAAGCCTTTAAATCATGCCATAACATTTTTTCATGCTCAAGTCCTAAGATGTCGATAATATTTTTCTTTATTTATACTTCAAAATTGATAGTTCGTTTACCGCCTCTCGCTTAACCTAAGCATAAAACTGATACGCGTTTCAAGACATATGCAATACTTTTGAGAGAGTTGCCTGTTTATTTTGGAGGAGAGAGAGAACTGTTCTCCTCTTCATCCCCAGATTCCTCTTTCGTCTCCTTCCCTGACCTACTTTGGAAACGTGGGAGGGAGAGAAGGATAAGGGAATGGAGAAGAAGTCGTCGATAGAGACAGAGCGAGGACGCTGACCTTCGATCAAATCCGGTACGCAAAGGACACCCACACACAAATATAGAAAGTGCACCGTCGTGGAAACAATTCCATGGAAATGCCATCTCTCTCTCTCTCTCTCTCTCTCTCTTTCCATATATGAACTGGAAGGCGAATGTATTTCGTTTTCATATCGCTCTCTTCGTCCTAGTTTTTCTGTGTTTCCCTCCACGGACCTAAACGTAAAAGTCTGAGAGCTCCCTCGATATGAGGAGGAAGGGTTTTAAGGTGCGCCACATCTCTCTCTCTTTGCCGTACCTTTCAAGTCTAGAACCTGTGCATGACGGGCAGACTTCTGTGTTGAACGGAGAGAAGAGGCCAACGGCAGTGAGCTGTGAGCTCTTCCGGGGGCGAAGCTCTAAAGCCCTGGAGTCGTAGTACCGACCGGATCACCTTCCTCTTTGTCGGCACTGTGGAAGGTCCATCCTCATCTTCCTTTTAGACGGGATTCAGAAGCCCGTTCTAATTCTCTTGGGTCTGGACAGTCCATCCCAGCTCATCTATGCCGGAGAAAGAGAGAGAGAGATAGAGAGAGAGAGGAGGTATATCTTACAATCCTGAACCCCAATGATCAGTTTCTTTCCCTTGCGACCGATGTCCAATCACGGGGAGAAAGAGATTTTTATGTACATGACTGATTCCTAATAGCTTATTTTTTCTCAATAGGTGATCTAGAGAGAGGCAGACGCACAGTGTTGGTGCAATCAGTGAGAGAGGGTATCTGTGCGTGTGAGCGGGCAAATATTGACAGGGTAGGAAAGACGAGAGATCGTGAATGGGCTACTTTGTAGAGAGAGAGAGAGAGAGAGAGAGAGAGAGAGAGAGAGAGCGTGAATGTACTGCGTTTTCTTCTACGATTTCCATCTTACCCTTTTGCGAACTGTGGGAACTCCTCGGGATTCCTAAGCTACATGTACTAACAAACAAGCGTATGTATCGGGATACCGATATCACGTATGATATGTACAAATCTATATACGAAGGTCAAGCCCACAAAGAACTGATTTCTAGACAGTAACAACTTCTGCCTTCCAATTAAAAGCTGCGGAAAGAACCGAGATGATGATGCTGCACGCTGAAAATGGCGTGAAAAAAGGTATAACAGTGGTCCGTTGTGACCCACTGAACCGAGGGGGAACGAGCGCTGAAAGAAGACGCCTCACCAAATTCAAAAAACGTCCAGGAGTCTGTCCCAATTCCAAGATTCTCAGACCTTACATCCATGGGAATTCATGCAACATGTTGATAGATTGCACGGATCGTAAGGCAGATACTCTATTTTTCTACCTATGGGAATGAAAAGATCATGCTGGAGAGGGCGGCCAAACCAGATAACACGCTAGCATAGGCGATATTCTGACTGAAGGACAGAACGGAGCAATGCAGGAAACTTCCTCCCAGGTGAACTCCGAAATTTCCGAAGAACACCCTTCTACTAAAAGTCAAGGTAAAGGAGCAACGCAGAGGTAGATAGATAGAGAGCGGGAGAGAGAGAGAACAGTTTAGAGACGACCCATTGGCGGCTGTGGACGAGTGCCCTTTTTCCAGAAGGTTGTTCAGCTGTGATGGATTGGTGGGTGGGAGAAGGGGATGGCATCTAAGTGAGCTCAGAAGAAACTTTCTCTCCATCAAAGCAAATAGTAAGATATTGCCAGATAGTAAATTCATCTAAGAGCATTTCTTAACGTGGAAATCATTTTACCCGAGGGAGAGCGAGAGAATAACTTGAATCAAGGATATTTCGTGACTGAAGACCTTGAAACTTTAGCCCCAGATTAAATCAGATTTAGAAGCCCCAAATTTTGTTTTGATAAATCTAACTTCCATTGCACAAAGTTGAGTGGAGATTCCTTCAGCAAGGTCGACAATGGGAAATGTTTGGAAAGGGCAAGAGAAATATGCATCTGGCAAGACAGATGGGTACCATCATTGACTATTTGATCTTCACAAGGTGAAATGACCTCTGCCGATGTAGATTCCAGAGCCCTCCTTGGCCTTTCTACGTCTAATAGAAATTTTAAGAAATGGTCAGTGAATGGGGCGAATTGAGGAACTAATAATCTCGGGTGGATGTGATTTTAGAGAAACACAAATATCACCTTGAAAAAAATCTGTGCTCCACTGTCAGATAGTCTTCTGGGTTTCCATCTAGTATGTCCATTCTCAGAGGCGTGACCCTTCAGCTCCTAAAACATGGAAAACAAACGAGATCAGAAAATGGGAAACAACTCATTCGAGTAGTCTGAACATAATGTTGGAATAAGCGCGTACGTCATACTGAGTTTCCAATTTCAGTACCTAGCAGGCAGAGTCAATACTATGTTCTGCAGCTGACATCTGGCTCACACTGTCAGTTTCTGGTAGTCTAGACGTTCTGATGCCCGGTCAGAAGATTCAGAGAGTTATCAGCTCAAAACTATCAAGAAATTGGTCGCAGATGTGTTTTTGATGTAAAACTGTGCATCATCGTGCCGAATTTTTCAATTTTTGATGGTGATTCTAGTTGGTTTGCAGAGATGCATCCATTTTGTTGTACATAATTTTCACTGTTTGGATTGAGTGGAGTGACAACAGTTGGTCTCTGGCACTGCATTCACATTGCAAAAGGCTTCTTGCAAAGAGAAGCGAACCGATTCTTCGCAGCATTATCTCTCCTGCCTCGAGCAAAGGAGAATGGAGAATGTGGAGATCTGAATATCCCACATCCAATCCGAGCTCTGTTTTTGTTTTCCTTGACGGAGTGCTGTTTACCTGCCTGAGACAGCTGATCGGAGCATGGGGAAATAAAAGGGCGTGGAAAGAGAATATATTTCTATTTATAGGCAACTGATTTTGCAAGAAACCGTTGAAAAGCCAGTCTCAATCTCACCTCTCAAGGCATCATGTTTTCTTGTGTTTATGTATTCACTAAAACAGTAAAACCCAGTTGCCGCATGCATGAAGATTACGCTCCCAAATCTTTACACGATTTAATCACATTGGAGGGCCCCTCAAGTCCCCACCTTCCACCTCCTCTCAGACGCAGGAGCAGAGAAACAGAAAGGAAGGAGGAAGAACAAACAGTACATACCGGCGATGCTCTGAACTCCTCCGGGTTTCTAGATCCCACACAGAAAATGATGTCAACCCAGTTGTCTACAATCAGGATGAGTATATTTCTTCTCACAATCCGACCATATCTGGAGCTTACAAATGACCCCAGTCTCCCCCTCGTCCTTATAATTTAGGAAAGCAGCGAGAAGTAAAAGAGGATCAAGGGCGGAAGCCCCATGCGCAATTGCAGAACTCAGAAGCCCTTGGCCCTGGAACCCTCGCCGGAGGGCTTGGCTCCCTCGCCGGCCATGTAGAGGCAGTATTCGGCGATCTCCCGGAACTTGGGAACGCTTCTGAGATCCACCTTGGTGCCGTCCTTGAGCGTGATGACGATGTCCCCCCACTCGCCGATGAATCTGGGCACCACCTGCACGTCCTTGATGACCTTGTAGGAGAAGTCGCTCCGATCCTGGCCGGTGAACCCGGAGACGACGGTGACGCGAAGGTTGGTGAAGCGGTACCGGAGGAAGAAGGCCCTGGAGACCGCCGCAATGGTAAGGGGAAGCCAGAGGAGGGTGAAACCCAGGAGAAGGTTCGCTAGTAGGTCCCCGTAGTGCGCGCCCCCATCGAAGAAGACGGCTTCTTCCCCGGCAACGGCGGCCCTCGCGGCGGGGGCGGCGGCGGCAGCGGCGGCGGTGGGGTTGTTGGTCGATGATGAGACAGAAACCTTGGTTTTGCCGGGGGATCTCGTGATGGGTCTGGAGGGGAAGGTGGCGTGGGCCAGTCGGGGGGGAAGGTGGAGGCGGCCAATTCTTGAGGAGACAAGGAGAGGGGAGATAGGGGAGGAGGAGGAGGAGGAAGCCATTGACAGATGGTGGGGGGCGTATCTATCTGCTAGGTGGGATGGTGCATTGGAGATGGAGAGGAAGGACAGGAGGAGCTGCCTCAGATTTCCCACCTCTCGGACAGGAGGAAGAGGGCGGCAAGAAAGGATGGGTGGAGGAGGGAGATTCAGCGCGGCTTCAGAAGAAGCAGATGATTTGACGGGGTAGTGCCATGTCAACGGGATAAGGTGGGGTCCATCAGAGCTCCTCTTAACTCTCATGGATTGTTCTTTGCCGAGATGCTTGGGCCTTGCAGAGCGTGAGAGGGTGATCATTACTACAATTTCTCCAGTGGAATTGCAGAACGATCTAAGTCTTTACGTACAATCGGCGACTCCAATTAAGAAAATGTTTCTGGAAAGTTTTGCATGGGGCTAGTGCGTCTATCGTCTCCCAATGCTTGCTCCGTTCTCCTCATATTCATCTCAAATAATTATTAGAAAGCACCCAATATTTGCATTTACTAGTAGATTAAGGACTATGGTTTTTACACCGTAGGTAATGTGGAAGAGACAGCCTGAGTGTACCCAGTTAAAAGACGGTATACGAGCAAGACCGAAGGTCAACCTCATCTGCGTTCCTCCCCTCCCTCATTCCTCGGTGCCTTTGAATACATCGGCTATATAGACTGTGAATCGATTTCAGAGGGCGGATATGAATTTCTATTCTGGCGTGTACTAATGTGAATAAAAGGTACACAAGTATTCCGAACGATTCTGATGAAATCGATCTCATTATTGGTGGTAACCGCAGAGCAAATACTGGAATAAAGAATTTCCATGATTTGTAAGAATTTAAAATTGGGCATGTGGAACATGATATTAAATTCTTAGTGTTCTAGGTAAGCTGGCGTTAAAGTATTATTAATTTAAGTATGCTGGATTTTTTTATCGTTCCATGAAAACTATATGGTACCCAGTGTTTCATTGAAAACTATATGAAAACTATATAAATCCTTTTTAGATGTCTTCTAGACAATTTGTACGGTAATTAATTATGTCCAAGAAGATCTTATTAAATCTATCAAAGAGAAGCACAACATCATAAAGATATTGAAGCTGTATTGCACAACTTATGTTGATGTCTAGTGAAAAGTTGAGGTGTAAGACATCCTCTTATATCATATGAGAATCTGAGACATGGTACATCTGATGTGCCATGTAAAAATATCTCAACAATTCTAGGAAATTTCCTCAAAGCATCTTTCTCTTGAAGTGCTTATGTGGAAGCTACCAAGGGATGCCCCATCTAAGGAGAAGATAATTTTAAGAATATATCGAAGCTTTTGTTTCTTTCTATTGATCATCATACAAACATAATTTTGTTTCTCTCCAACATATATAGACATATTTTCTTACTATAGTCATAGTCCATCCATCCATATCCATTGCATTTCACAACCAATAGAAAGTGTGTACCCTTGTATTGTGTATACATCACCTCAAATTTATAAAATCTTTGGATTCATTTTTTAATATTTTTGAAGACTTCAGAAAATTTGGAAAACAAGGGAAGAGGCTCCAGCCCTTTGGATGTAGCCACACACAATAAAATATCATGTGGAGTAGAATGAATGCAAAGTTGATGGACTCCACTACCAAATCTCAAAACATAAGTTCTCATAGCATTCTATTAAAATTTTCCCATTAGAGGAATATTTTATCATAGTAAAATTAATATGTAGATAATCAATTGGAAAAAAGGTACAATCTTGTCAAGAGGTGTAGTATTTGCGCAAGGCCACATTAAAGCATGAATGGGCGTCCCTCATGCCCCGCATTATCTAATTTTCTATGAAGAAATTCTAAGACCTGATCGGAAAATAGCTTGAGCCCCAGCCCAAAGAACAAAGAAAACTAGAAAATGGCTTTTACATGGGCTTGGAGACTATTTTCAAAATCCATTCTCTTCTAGCCTTGCGCAATCAAGTCTTGGCTTCGAGTAGTCTTAGGAACCCCAAATGTGTCCCCTTCTTCATTAATCTACGCTCATTTTGGAGCTAGCCTTGCAAGAGCGGGTGTGCGGGAGAACAGAACTTAGCATCAAGGTTCGAAAAAGTGACATATTAGAGAGAATGAGAGAGAGAGTTATTTTTCCCTGTTGCATTCTCTCTCCCCAAACTCTCTGCTCATCCAATTTAGGTTTTGAGAAAAAATGTTCTGCTCAGATTCACCATCAAAATCACCTCTCTATGGATGCCATCATAAGGAGGCATTTGGTCATTGTTATTGAGAATATTCGATTCTTGCTAAATGCACATAAACATTCAATAATGGTCATTTGTAAACTTGCTTAAGATCATTGGATTTAAGTGGAGGCGGGTGCGATCTAAAAATATTTCAAAATCATCATACCTCTTACTCTGATCGCGACTTTTCAATGAACAGTCTATGATTTGGGTGAATCCCATTTTTGACCTTGACATCGAAGGCAAGGTAAATCATCTATTACACCAGCGTTGCAGTGATTTTATAGCTTTGTATACATACATTCCCAGATCTGCTTCTCTCAAAACGACACCAGCGTGAAATGGCTCACGATTTGTGGGCAGAAGAAGGAAGATCATTCATAATCATCTATGAATGATGTCACATCACTTCAACTCATATTTCAAGGTTGGAAACAAATTGATTGAAATTAGCCTATATCTCATCTTACCATTTGAATTTCATACACAGTATTTTTAGTGTATCTTACATCACTAAAACTCAAATCTTTTAGTTAATTGTCCATTTATATTCCTTGTTATCCAATTCCATCCATATTTTAACACAAGTGGTGGAGAAAAGAAAGGACCATAGATCTGTTCTGAATTTCAATAATATGATCTCAGAATTAATAAAATTGAATTAATTGAAGTTCTAGACAAATGCTTGAATATAGTTTGTTTGAAGAATATGTTTCTTGATCTATGTTTTCACATCCTTTCATATCTATTATTCAATTTATTATTAGAAATTTATTCACAATCATTTCATGGCATTCAAATCCATGAGTTCTTCTATTTCATCTACTAGGCTCTTCCATGTGGATGACTGGTGAAGCCCTTATTATGTACACTACTTTTATGACCCTGGTTTAACCTTGGTCTCACAACCACTTACAGGTGATAAATATACTTCATGGTGTCAAATCATTATTATTGCCTTATCAGTCAGACATAAATTAAGTTTTATTGATGGATCAATATCTAAATCGATCTAAATTGATATGATTTTACTATGATCATAGATTAGAAACAATAATATGTTTAATTCTTCATTTTTGAATTTTGTATCTCTAGATGTTTCAGCTAGTATTATTTTTTCAATTTCAACAAAAAAATTGTGGAATGATCTTAAGGAAATATTTAATAGAACGATGGGCCTAGACGTTTTCAATTATGTCATGGGCTATTCAATCGCAAACAAGACCAAGATTTTGTGGGAACATATTTCACCAGACTAAAGGCTCTTTGAGGGAATTGAGTCATTTTATACCCTCATGTTCTCCTGGAAAGTGTACATGTAGAGGAGTAAAAGAACTTGACAATTATTTTCTATTAGAATATTTGATGTCATTCTTGATGGGTGTTAAATTATTCATTTACTTAAATTCGAGCCCAACTATTACTTAACAATCTTATTCTACCTATTAATAAGTTTTTTCCCTTGTGTGACTAGAAGAACAGCAAAGGCAAGCTAATTTTCGACCTTCTTCAAGTATTGATACATTAAATGTTGCCATAATTGGTGCCAAAACAACTCAGTCTGTGTTCTAGTAATTCTACACATAATCTGAGCTAGACCATTAGTAAAAATGATTGATATTGTACTCATTCTAATTTTCATGGACATACAATTGAAAAGTGTGACAAACTTAATGGCTATCTTCTGGGTTATTAGCAAAAGTTAAAATTTCGCTTATGATATATTAATTAAACTTTTTCTTAAATTGATTCTACAATCACAACTAGACATCAAGTGACATTGAGACCTTAATACACATCAATTTCAACAATTGATAACCATGTTCTCAACACATCTGGCTTAGTCTATGACTATAATTGACAAACAAGTCATGAGTCATGCAGTAGGTACATGCCTCTTAGTTGCTTGGACTCTTTGTCTATCTCCTCCAAATATTTGGATAATTGATGGTAATGTATCAAGTTACATTGGTTAAACGTTATTTTCTTTATTACCTTATGTCCAATATGTAATTCAACTATTATCTTAGATAACATTGCTTCTATTATAGTCAACTTAATTGATGATGTGCAACTATATTTTTATTTAATTTTAAAAGTTATGTTATTTGTACCTCATTTTAAATATAATCTATTATTTATGTGTGACAAAAAAATCAATTTGAAATTTATGCTTCATTTTTTTCAATCATTTTTTGATTTAGGTTATATCACAAGATAATGATTGACAAGGGTGATAAAGTTAAACGATTTCATCTTCTAAGAGTTAACAATTTTCTATTATCTAAAGAACACCAGAAAATTACACTCGTTACCAACACTACATCTGTTTGCACATGGAAAAACAAGCCATGTTATTTATCTTCTAAACTACTTAAGATACTAAAAAATCATTAGCCATTTGTCTCTTCGGCTTATAATGAACTAACTCTATATTCAATTGTCCTTATAGAAAAAAAATATTGATTACCTTTTATTTGTCACTATGATCTTTCACGTCATCTATTTAATTTAGTATATTGTGACATATGGAGATCATTTTCCATAGTGAGCCACTCAGGTTAATGATATTTTTTTGTCATTTTTTATTATTCCGCTCAATTTTTATAGAACTTTATTATGAAAAGTAAATCTGATTTAAAGAGTATTTTTTCCCATTTTTTACCATAGTTTGCACTCAATTTGAGTACATAATGGAAAAGTTATGATCTGATAATGACAGTGAATTTGACTTCACTGCTTTCTTCAATCAATATGATATTTTACATCAATATTCATGTGTTGACAAATCATAACAAAAAAAATTAGTATAATACAAGCATCAATAGTTATTGAATGTTGCCATATCTATATTTTTTTCAATTCTATATTTAATTATAATTTTAGAAAACTTGTCTTCCATTACATTTGTTATTAATCAACTTTCGTCTAATGTTCTCAACAAGAAAAGTTTATATGAATTATTATATCAGAAGTTGATTGATTTTTCAACATTTCAAGAATTTGGCTACTTAGCTTTTGCCTCCACTCTACTTACAAATCGAACTAAATTTCAATCACATGTTAGACCTTGTGTCCTCAATGACTACCCTCATGATAGGAAAAGATACAAATTTTATATATCAGAAGCAAATAGATATCCATCTCATCTGATGTCATTTTTCATAAAGATTTCTTTACTTTCCATTCAATCATTACTATCAATATATTTTTGGATTCCTTCCTAGATTTAGTTCTTCCCACTACGATGGTCAAAATTAATTCCTTTTTCTTTATAAATTCTCCCCATAGACTCTCCTATTCTCGTACACCCCAGTCACTTATACCAATAGAATAGTATAGCCACATTGGTAAAACCTCCTTAATGCCAATTTCATTATAATAATATATACACACATACATACACCATTATATATCAGATATCTTGTCTTACACATCCATATCACCCTCCCTTCAATAGTTTGTCATGGTCATTTCATCTAACTATGAACCCTTAGTTTTCTTATCAAGTAGTTGTATATCCTCATTGGCACATAGTAATGAAGATTAAACTAGCTGTTATGAAATCAATCAACACTCAAATCAGTTGTAACTTTAACATCTAACAAACATACTATTCATTCTTACTATATATACAAAAAAAATATCATTATCATGGTTTTATAGAATGATATAAAGCTTGTCTTGTTACAAAATGATACAACTAACAAGAGATAATCAACTTTTTAGAAATAGTTTCGTCTATTGCCAAATCTTTCACTATCAAAACACTACTAGGACTTATAGTCAAAGATGATTTGGACATTTAGAGCTAGATATCATTAATAATTTTCTCAATGGTGACTTGTTCTAAGAAGTCTATATTGACATACCTTTTGACTATTATCTCAAGGGGGAACTCTTGGTTCATCAAGGTAACTTTGTTATAGATCAATTTATACTTTTTGGTAAGCATCCAAGTATTCATATTCCAAGTTATCCACTTTATTAATTACATTTAGCCTCAATAAATTTAAATTTGGTTATCCTTTATTGACAAAGCACTCATATGTGTTGATGACACTATAATGGTTGGACCCTCTATTATTAATAGTAATACGTTGAAAACTTTTTTGAGTCATCAATTCAAGCTTAAGAACTTTGGCAACATGTTTTTTTGGGTTTAGAAATTAAATGTTCCTTGACATTAATCATTTTATCTCAATGTCATTACACTCTACACCTATTTGAAGGTACTAACTTTCTAAGTTCTAAACCTAGCTTTGTCCCTAGAGAACCTCACACCCATCTTGATGCCAGTACTATAGAAATTCTCGAAGATGCATCATAATATCAGATATTGATTGGGAGACTCTCATCTTTAACATTATCATGACCCAATCTCACATTCATAATTCACAAGTTAAGTCAATTCATGACTCACCCTTGACACCTACACTTAATAGCTGCACATCATCTAATCCACTATTTCAAGGTTAGGTTAAGGATTATTCTTCTCTACTTCAACTTCTTTACAACCTCATATATTTTCTAAAGATGATTGAGCTGCATATTTCAATTTCCTCAAATTATTCATTGGAATTTTCCTAGAGATTCATTATTTAAAAAAACAAAAAAATAAGTAAAATATATCAGTTATATGCTAAAACAAAATATTCAACATTGGCTGATGTTATTGTAGAGGTTATCTAATTGAAATAGCTGTTGCAAGATTTTTGCATCAAAGAACCTATTATAGTCATTTTTCTTGTGACAGTCAAGTGTCTATTCACATTGCTTCTAATCCAGCCTTTCTTGGACGCACCAAAAACATTGAGATTGACTGTCATTTTATTCATAACAGACTCATGACTAGATTCACCAAATTTCTCCTAGTTTGATTGCAACATCAACCACTGATATTTTCACTGAATCACTATTACCCAGTTATCTTTTCCTTATATTGTCCAAGATAATTCTCAAGAATACTTATAGGGCATCTTGAAGGGGAGTCTTCCTAACCCCACACATGTCCCCTAGCTGCACCTGCATCCCCTTTTCATTTCTCTTTCCTCAAACCCTTCATTCATCCATTATAATTAGTTTTCGGAATATATGAGTGTGCTACAGCACGTATGACTCACAAGTCCTATGCGCAATCTTCCATGAATTTTCTTAAAGCTCGCAATCAAAGATCAAGTCAGACATAAAAAGTAAGTTCTACCCAGACTTCGTCAAAGCTAGAAAAATATTTTAAAGGGATTCAGTAGCATATGTGAATAGTCAATTTCCTTAAACATTTTTACAATGACAAATCACGTGGGATCACATCTCACCTTCGTTATTTTTTTCTCTGTCAATTTTGTGATTCTTTCTCTCAGTCACGTAGCAGCAGATTCATTGACAGCTGTGTCTACTATGATTCCTAAACATATTTGGGTGAACCTGACCTTGGAAGTGAAGCAGATCCCCAGTTTCGTAGAGCCATGATCTTGGAGGCTCTCATCAAAGAAGCCCTTCATCAAAAAGCATGCCGATGGGGCTACCCTCCAAAGAATCAGCCTAACCCCTTCTACGTGGATCTCTCCTCCTGTCAGGTGGGTGATGCCTAAAATAAATTTAATCATCCTATTTTTTGTGATGGGAATGTCACCTCATCAGTTTTCGGGGATTCTCATGCGGCTGTTCTATCTTTGTCCTTCTTCTCTCTGCTGAGACGGCCTTATTCAGGAGTCATTCCACTGGGTACCGAAGGTATGAGTTAAATCCTGTGATTTGGGTCTTGCTCTCCTTTTCTGATATGATGATTTTTCAAAATAGTTCCTTGTACCTTGTACTGAAGAGATTGGTAAAGTCATACATCCCCTCACTCTCTCTCTGTCCCGATCAGTCTCCTTTCTGTCATAAGATGCTGGCCGTCAAGAGTCATTTACAACTGGTTCACCGCGACTTGCTTTCGATAAATGAATCTCAGGTAGACGTTATACTTCTCGTTACCACTCTTCCAGATCAGATTAAGGTAGAGGTAAAGAAGTTTCTCTCTTGTTCACTCTCCAATAGCCTCGAATAGAAAGAGCAGGGTAGCAGGATCAAAAGAGGAGATTCCATTACAAAGTTCAGTCATCCAATTCAAAACTAAAAACTTAGGCACCTGAGTGAACTGGGTACCTACATTTAATCATAAGAGGAACCTTAAATTTTACATGCAATGCTCGTTAAAAGCCAAAACGGAACTAAAAATATCCCGTTTTACGTTAATTGGTTGCATTCGAAGTGAGCTCATAGGCGCCTATATATGGAATATTTTTATAGTACGGAACTGCTCCGGGTTAATAGGACAACCACACACCTCATTCTTCCCAGGAAGGCCGTACAACACACAAGGCTTATGGTACATAATCAGGACGCACCCCTTGTCTTCCTCTCTCTCTCTCTCGCTCTCTCTCGCTTGGTCCTGGAACTGGACGCGGAAAACTTGAAAGTTTCTTGGAAGCTTCGAAGCACGGCTAGGCAGGTTCTCTTTTAGATTCTTAAAAGAGGTGTGGGGAGAGAAAGAAAGAGGACAAGAGGAAAGACACAAAGAAAATGCTATTTGGACCTTCAGAAGTTAGTAATGTAGAGAGAGAGAGAGAGGTTCTTATAAGATAGCTTCACACAGAAGCTAATACGCTTGATTATGACTGCACGGCTTAGGAGCAAGATGGTGCAACCCAAACAAAAGCCACGGCACAATCTTATTCTAGTGTCTGGCAAGTTACTCTATCGACGAAAAATCCCGTCTTCATTCCAGATTATTACGATAAATAGAAGCTTAGCTGCTCCGGCCAAGTCCAGAGGCCAGTCTGGTCATCGATGCCGCAAAATAAATTGGAGAAACTTTCATCCTGGACGTCTTCTTCCGTCTTCCTGCTGTGCGCTTGTGAATTCCTAAAGAGTGACCAGTCGGCACTTAGGCTTTTGTTGATGTCCGCGTAAGAATCGGAGCTATTGATGCCGGAGGGTCTCTCGCTGTCCTTTTTGAGGTTGTTTATGGTGTCTGATCGCAGGATCCCTCTTATCGCCACTGCCTGGGTGGACGACAAGAGCCGAGTCAGAAAATTCGAGTAGAAGAACGCGGTATTAAGTCGATCAACCAGGAAGGCAATCAAGATTACGTGAGAAAAAAAGAGAAATTTATGAATGAACGAGAGAGAGTGAGATAGAGAGAGAGGAGAGGAGAAAGCATCTTGATGGCAGTACAACTATCGTATCACGGAAAAACGTTAAGCAAGTCGAGATGGCTAGATCGTCTGGAGAACTAGAGTCGATTTCATCATGAAGGGAAGACTAGGAAGATTTATGAGGTCCACTGCATCACAAAAAACATATATTTGCAGAAGAGAGAACTATGGGCGGTTCTATGCATCTCTCATTTCAAAATGACAGTGATCTACCTTTTTCAGTTATCCACAGAAATGCTGTTCGGGAAGAGAGACGAGGAAAGATGTGAGAGATTCGGAAATGGTTCACTCCAAGTAAATCTCGACTGTCTCAAGCATTAACAATGAGCACGGTTTTTTCCCCTTTCTGTGGGATCCTGTCCCAAGTGATCACATGAAGAAATATCTGACAGAGATAAAGAGAGAGAGAGACGTAAGATACTAATTGTCTTCAGCTCAATCGTATGCAAAATCTTATTCCGAGATCTGATCTGATGATCAAAGAAATAAATCTCAAAAATACTCAGCGTTACCCTCAGACCCTGGAAAAAATAAGATGTTCATCGAAGTGATTACATAGGGAGCGACTTTGAGTATGATAGAGAGCTGTACAAGTGAGATAGGGATGTAGGAAGAGATTATATACATGGAGAGAGAAAGAGTCCGTTATACCTCGGCTTCTAGCTTCTCATTTAGCCTCCTGATGATCTCGTTCTCAACCCTGACTTCCTCTAGCCGCCGCCGGAGCTCGTCGTAGTCTCTCTCTAGCTTCTTCGTCTTCGAACGAGCCTTCCTATTCTGAAACCATATCGCCACCTGCCGTCGCTTCAGCCCCAGGGCTCTTGCCAACTGTATCTTCCTCTCCGGCTCTAGTCTGTTCCCCACCTCGAAGCTCCCCTCCAATGTCCTCACTTGATATTCACTCAGCTTCCTTTTCCTCTTTCCCATCGCCGATCTCTCGTGGAAGAACTGCCCTGAGGGGTAATTATGATCACCGTGACAATTGGCAGGGCTTGAGAATGGCAGGAGAAATGCAGAGCGATGGAACAGGGAGTCCTCTGACGAGGGCTCATCAGGCTTTTGCATTTGGAGGAAAAATGTTCGAGGAGTGACATTGCAGCCCATCTGCCGCCTCCGTCTTTCGAGCTATCAGCGATAGCCATGGGGACCTGGCAGTGCGGTCATGATAAAAACGAGAGGGAAGAAGGCTGTGTGTGTGTGTGTGTGTGTGTGTGTGAGAGAGAGAGAGAGAGTGAGAGAGAGAGAGAGAGAGAGAGAGAGAGAGAGAGAGGGGGAGAGAGGTGGAGAAGAGGTATCTTCGTAAATGGAGAAATTAGAGAGGAACGGGACTTCGAGGAAAGCAACAGCGAATGAAATGGAATGGAAGGATTTGTACATAGGGAGGAAAGAGTAATGGAGTCGGTGATATATCACTGCATATTAAGACAACTAATGCTAGAAATATCCTTGATTCCGAAGACGACAGAGCCTTGGAAGATGCAAACCAAACATTTTATTATAATTCGTTCTGTTTATTGCGATGAACGGTATGAGATTCTCTAATTTTCAATCTTAGATTTGCCCCGAACCCTGCCACAAGAGTGGTGGCTTCATTGCGTTAAATTAAGAAAGATTTATGAGAAAGTTGTATTAGAGATATAGAGAGATCGATAGAGGGGTGACTTCTTCACGGAAAAGCTCTTCTTCAGTGGAAAATAATTAGGACACGAGGTAGATAAATAGGGAGAGACCTTTGGCCGAGCTAGGGGTTGCTTACATACTCTTTGTATATATATGTGCATGTACCAAAAAGTATATCAATATCACGAAATGTTAATTCTTAAATCTTTAGATTAACTTTTGATTTATCAGCTTGACCCCTGGGACCCGACGTAAGGTGGACAGGTCGGGGTCCATCCAAACAACAGGTGGACGAACCCCCAGTCGTTTTCTCTGGCAAGGCGACCTTCCGGAGATAGTCCAGGCGAGGACAGTCAGGCGGTTTCCTTTGCACGCTCTCTCACTCACTCTCTCTTCTCTCTCTAACCCGTCGGTTCTCAGAGTAAACACGTTGGCGCGAACGTTTTTATCCTATGTTATAGTCCGGCAGCAAATTGGGGCATGTGTAAAGAAACAAGAATTGATATTTGATTTTGGAGAGAAGCGTGATTGTTAATTTTCGTAGAACAAGCTGACTGGTTACCTTTTCAATCAACTCATTACCAAATAAGCGCGGTCTCTCTCTCTCTCTCTCCCTCATATCGAAATAAGAAGAGCCGGACCTTAAATTTTATTTTTTTTGTCTAAAGACCTAAGCATTAGGAAGGATGGGGTAACTTCTTCCCTTTCCCTATGAGCGTTGCCAAAGGAACTCGAGTGATGCCTGTCCCCCTAGAAATGTAGAGAAGGCTAGTATGCATGCAGATTCTATAATTTAGAGAGGGCGGCGGAAAGATTTCCGCGATGGGTTTATTCTTCTCAATGAAGAGACAGGCGCTGTGAAGAAGGACGACCGCTAAGGTCGCGCAAGAGTATTTTCTCTCATTTTCTTCTACTTCCTTTAAATTAAAGTATAAAAAGTAAATATAAAGCTAGATTAGATCAACGTCAGGATGGACGACCTTGATGTTTCCGATGAGGGAATTAGTGAGCGCGACAGAGAGGGGAGAGAAGCAGGGAGAGAGACTCCTTATGGGTGGAGCTCAGGGTTTGGGACCGAAGGGCTACTGAAGTTTCTACTTGCTCCCATATAAAACTATCCTCTCTGTCTGTCTCCCTGTCTTTGTGTGGAGTCTACATCGTCCATTCTCGGGAGGTGCAATGCCGTAAGGGCGAGGATGCTGATATCCGACCAGAAGACATGAGCACAGTATCAGCACCATCAGCTGGAAGACAGTGCCACCGAAAAGGAGAGGAGTTGCCGGAAGAGGGGGAACCGAGAGAGGAAAGGAGAACATTATCTACTGTTCCTTCGAGAGGTTATGTGAGCTTATTTCTCCGTAGTCACCATAGTCAAAACCCAAAATGATATTATATCGCCCTAGACCCTGGGAGACAACAAAAATCCATTCCAATGAGTCGACTTGGACAAAAATTGTCGACAGGATTCTTTAACACCTCTTCGAGGCTATTGGGAAAGCAGATCCTATCAGATTTTTTCAGGGCTAAGGGCATTGTGGCTCGACGTTCCGATGAGATTTGTGTTAGATAGGAGCCTAGGCGGAAAAGTATCTAACAAGACTTCATGTAGTCTTATTATTAAATATCCAATAAAACCTTACTTGAGCATGAGGCTAGTTAACTATAGATCGAAAACTAATGTCCAATTGAGGGAAGAAAGGTTTCTGACCCAGATGGCTAAAGACAAATATTTGGAGGCATCAAAGTGACTCATAGTTCACTTTTGTGGTCAACTGCAATACAAGCCTATTTTCAAATCAGTTTAGATAGATGATGTAGCCCAACTCAACTCAATTTAAGTGGATTAAAAGCCCAAGAAGTGTGAAGACACAATTCAGTCTAATTTAGTTTGAGATAACCTAGTAAGAGATTTGGACACAAGTTAAACATGCCAAAATCTCAATTCTCACATTTCTTTTATTTTCACTTTTTTTTTTATAAATTGTAAATATTACCCCACTACTATTAAGGACGTTCTACTAAAACCTTCCAGTTTTTAAGGGGCATTTCAATTGTTTCCTCTTTTCTAAATTAATTATAACTAATTTTTTGCCTTCACATAGTCCCTCTCTGGTAACCTTAGAGTCAATTTTCATTTTCATCAATCTATTTTCAAGTTCCTTTTCTCTCTAGAGGTCCTCTATCTATGCTAGTGGATTATAGCATCCTTGTGGACTCAAGGAGTCATTTTTTGATCTTGTAGACTACCTTGTGGACTAAAGGAGTGAGGTTTCTTCATCTTGTGGACTCAATGTGAAGGAGCTTCACATAAATGAAGTACTTTTTGTATTCAAGGATGACATTTCAACTCTATGCAACTTAGGCTGCATCAACTCGATCAAATCACCATGAGGTTAACATTTCCACTATGTCAATTGGTCAATCCCACTTAGTTTTCCTCTTGCAAGCCACACCTAGGTAGAGCATGGAAAACTAGAAATGTAACCTCTATAATAACTAAAACAACAAAGAAAATTGTTATCATGACTGATGAAAATTTCAACCATTTATTGCAATTTCTAGAAGTCTAAATGAGGCAATCTATGTAGTGATTGGGAAGCTTTCCAAAATTAGTATATATGATGCAGGCATCTCCTACTTAATCTTCTTTGATGTAAATGTTGTCAAAGTTATTGCACAAACTACGAGAGCTATTTCTTAAATAGAAATTTTGAAGAGATCACAATGTTAAAGGTATATTTATATCCCAACAATCGAATTTAATACCGTAAAAACTGGCTTTTCACTATCAGACAAGAACATAATTAATTAAATGCTTTGATGATTTATGTTTTTAATAATACTTCATAGAATCTTAGAAAAGCATGCATTAGGACTATTGACATCACTCTATTCCCATATCATTGTTTTAAGTCTACATTTCTTTTGGTGATGCAAAGGAAGAGTAAAGAATATAGAGAAATCATATTTTTGACTAATTTGCATTAATGTTATGTGATATTATAATTTTTCTTAGTTTCAGAGTAGTAGCATTTATAACCTCAAGTACATGATGTACAATGCAGTATAATAGAAACTAAGGGCTAGTCCATAGAGCATCAATGTTAGCATAAGCTTTTTTATCAACCTATTCCACCAAGGTTCTGCCTAGATACTGTAGACAGCAATCAAGGGACTTAAATTTCTTGAATTAATACATTTATATTTTGTAAAGAATGTAAATCATTTATATTTTGTGTTGATCACTATAAAAACTTTATTTCTTATTGAATGTTGCAACAATAATAGCATTGACATCTATTTGGATCGCCAAATATGATATAAATTTCTAGTAGAATGAGTTAAACCTATCACTCTAACCACCACCAGCTTATTGTAGATATATTTTCTCATGTTACTGAAATAACAAGACAAATTTAAGTGCACAACACTAGTCATTTGGTGAAGAAACACGTTCTTTAACCATCTCTTTCAAGAATGTTCTTTTAACATCCTTTTACAAACTTTCAAATTTCTCACACATGTAAAAGAATAAATCTTTCTAAATGCATTAACTCTGACATCTTGAGCATAGTTTCTTCATTTTCTATACCTAATTCCCAAAATTACCTTGGGGCTGCTAATCTTGCCTTTCTTCCAACTTTTTGTTTCCCATTTTCTTATTAAAAATCTAGCATGTTCTAGACACAAACTTGTGCCATGTCCCATTAAAAAGAGCTTTAATATATATAGTTTAAAGGTTAAATTAAGAAAGAAGGAATTATAAAAGTTAGAGTAAAATTTTAATTTAGAAAATATTATATTAAAAATTACAAGCCTTCCTATTGATGCACGAAAATTAAAACAAATGATTAAAAATCAGATATTTTGATCTCTATTTTTTACAAAGTGATTTTTATTCAGCATCTTATACTTTAAATCATTAAGTTCCACAAGCATTTAGTGATGGCACTTAATAGTTAAATATCACTTATGCATTCCTAGTGTTCATTAAGTCATTTACAAAACAGTTCATACTTTTAATTGAATGTATAATTAGATGAGACTGAGTGTCTTGTATCTCATTTTTTTATCTGCTAAACATATTTAAACCTCTTCTTCACTATATGATTGAGCCACAGTATATCTTTTTCTTTTGGTGTGCCTCTCATTCCAATGGAACACAATCAGTTCAAAAAGTTTCTTCACTTCATCCATTCAAAAAAAAAATTAATATTTTTCCAACAAATGTTTAAAAGATGAATATGTAAGCATTTCCCTATCTAATCTTTCTAGTTTTCCTTCATTCAACAGTATCTAAATCCCCTAGAGAGTTAGGATGATCTTTTGCCATGAAGGTTTGAGACTTTGTCAACACTCTTTTATTGATCTTAATCCCATACTTTAAACAATCTTAAGTATACAAAGAGTATCTGAATTTTCTCAAAGGCATCTTACCCTAGTCT